GATGATTTCCTTCACATTTGATGTCTTTTCTTCCTTTTTTGCGTGTGTAAAGTCATATATGAACAATCGTTGATGAAAATAATGAATGGTGCTATAGTAAGTAGCTCTTACATTTCTTATTTTAGAACATCATCTCTGTGCTCAACAACCACAAATCGATGTCGTGTTCCATCACGGCTTTCGCTTATTGCTTTCTTTCATTCTACACTGTACAAGTTGGTTCCGAAGGTTATTCTAAATAATCTATGAATTTCTCATTTGCACCACAACAATTATGTATCTGCATCGATCCTAATTAAATTTTCAGCAGTTGTTGGCACTGCTTTATGCACAAAAATCAATCACATCGTTCGGCAGAATCTCTACATCTTTTTTGTCTGTAGTATATTACATGAGATTTTAGGTTTTTGTTGGGTAGTATATTGCGGTTTGGGCACTGTTGCCCAATCTTTTTCGTCACCTTCAGAAACGAAAGCTTACATTATGTTCAACGTCTTTAAAATTCATTTGTCAGATAGAGAAAATACGAGAATTTGACCATATGGAGTGGTGTTTCTGATGACAGCGTGTAATGTAGACCAGACATCCCATTCAATCTAAGCTGATTTATCCATCAAGTACAATCAGATTTTACGGTGGATTAGATGGTATAGATTATCATATATTTTTTCGTTTTTTTTTAAGTGAGGTTTCTATAGTAAGATCTGACATCTAACAGTGACTGGACGTTAGTTTTTGTCTGCAGAACGGAGTTTTAGCTGATGGAACAGAGCTCTATCTTCCTGGATCGTATGAGAAATATATATATATAGATACTAAGGATACCTTTTGAAAACGTTAATCCAGAGTGTCGTACACGCCATCACGCAAACCTAGTGTCTTTATTCATTGTTGTCTAGACGTACAATTTCGTAGTATTGTTAAGTTTTAGAAAAAGTTTTAAGAAAACACTGTAATTCTAGCTATGAGCGTAATGTAATACACAACTCACATCTCGATTAAAATCCCACGAAGCTGCTTGAAAATACTCAGTTATATTTGATCTGTATGTTGACAAGGTTAAAAAAGTAAAAAATTTTATTTCCATATGTTTTTGATTTCAAAGGATTCTTTAGAGAATAGCCGTAAATTTAAAATTTTAATCAGTATTTCAGTAGTTATTTATTCAATCTGCTCATCTGACTATGTTGTGAAATTCTCAAATGAGACACATTCATATAAAAACAAAAAACATGAATTATCGGTACTCCATTTTATTTTTTGGTGAATACATAACAAGCATTTAATATTGTCTTTTTGTGTTTTTGTGCTACAAGAGTAAGAACAAAAGAAAACTTAAACCACACCTGTTTGAAGAAAAATAGGCAAGGAGACAATAAATAAACGGAGCGAGAATAAGAACACAAAAACGATGTATAGATACTTGAGCAAAAATTATCTTGAACGATAATTCATTTGTAGTGATCAAAGAAAAAACAACAGCAACAACAACAAGAAAAATAATCTTGAGCACAATGTACTACCACACACCCAAAAAAAACAAACAAAAAATTACGTTTCGGCTTAAGAAAACAAACAAATAAACGCAAAACGGACGGAATTAATTCTTCAAACACATCTATCATGCATAGGAAATAATACAAACGTTCACACGCACGCATACATGTTTTGTTAATTTGTAGAATGACACTACCAAATTTGAAAACTAATTATTAAAAAAGACGTATGTTTTTAGCAATAAATAAAATTTCTCACAGGCAAAATATATACCCAAGACGGCCTAAAAACGGTCATAACACGGGATAAAGAGTGAATGAAACGAAGTATCCTGATCTGCAAAACTCGTCTTCAATCTCGGTTAATAAAATGAGATTAGAGTAAAAAAATAATGTTTCTAAACAAAAAATAACCAGGTTCTATGTTTGAGAAACTAAATTAATCAGAAAAAAAGTCAATTAAACACTGATGATTTACTTTTATTAGTATGGTATAACCTTAGCTCTAACCGCTTAGCTGTCTGTTAACAACTGATATGGTTGAAATATAGATTTACTAACTTCAATTATCAAAATTTACCAATACTTTAATTATAAATCTGTGTCGATTTTCGCAAGAGTATTTCAATATGGAAAATAAAAGAATAACAATTACGAAAGACATTGCAACAAGCTACTGCTATGAGTACGTTTTAATTAGAGCTATATTAAATTTTTCATGTTCTATCCCAACGTATCATTCAATGCGTCTCAGTCATAAATCATCATATTTTTGATGTGCGATTTTTTTAGTTTATCTATTTTCTTCTCGGTTTCTCCAACAAAAAAACTTTCTTTTTTTGTTGTAGAAAAAAAACAGATAAAGATAGAGGAAGAAAAAAGGCGAATAGTAGTATGAAAACAAAAGTGTAGTGTGATGTAGTAATTTGCTCTTTTTTTTCAAAATACACGCAAAAAAAACATCTGAAAGACAAATGACGATGAAGCAAAAAAAACAAACAAAAACAGGTGCGTGTATGTGTGTGAATAACAAACAAAAGAAGAATCAGAAAAAACATTATAAAAAAGAACAAATAAAGATAGAGTGCAACAACAACAAACGAAAGTGAAACAAACACATTGCGAGGAACGAATGGGTAGAAAGGACACTGCTACATTCTTTGTCATGATAAACTGTTCGCATCTTGATTAAGAAAATATTCTAAGTGATTGATTATGTTTAGGTTCGTCACACGTAGTCAATACAGGACAAAAAACGTGTAAAATCTGACTAAGTGTCAAGGAAATCATGCCCGACAAGAAAACCTTTATCTACTTGGAAGGAAAAGAGTGTATCTTCGAAGAAGTTAGGTTGCGTATCTACGGAAGAAAATAAAAAATCAGTACCAGATTCAGCACGTAGAAACATTTTACCACACACCCTCACCCTTATCTAAACTTCAGCTGATAGAGAGAAAAAGCATACATTTATCTACAGTAAACAATCAAAACATATTTATTTTTTAGAAAAATGTCGAATTGTTTGTTCGCTGTCATTGTTATTGTTGCTACTCATTTGTCTTTGTGTGTAGAGATCGATACATTTCTTTAAAGTGGTCCGCTCTCGTCATTATCGTTCGTTATTTTTGATATTGTTGTTCGTTATAATTGTCTGATAAATTTTCATCATTTTGTTGTCCCTCTGAACTAGTCCCTCCTGATCCATTTTTCAAATTTCCACTACCCGGTCTTATCGAATTAGAATTTGCATTATTATTTCGTCCTAAAGTACCGGTACCCGTGGCCGATCCACGAAACGATGGTCGATTACGTCCAATACGCGTACCTCCATACTGATTTGCGGTTTTTTTTTGAGTTTTTTCTTCAACATTCAAACGGTAACCTTTACACGTGACATGCTGTTGTTCTAAAACTTTTTGAGCCGGTTTTGAATCTTCAAATACAACAAAGCCAAAATTCTAAAAATAAACATGTTAATAGTTTAAATTGATTTTGTAACATGAGCATACCTTTTTTTCAGCATTTTGTGGTGAAAATATTCTAACATCCACAACTGGTCCATAACCACTAAAAAAATCTCGTAGAATGTCAGCTGTAAAATCGGGTGGTAATGATCCGACAAAAACTTGATTTTCGTTTGGTGTTAATGTTCGTCTATTTCCTCCTCCACTACCTCGTCTATCTGGACTATCATCTTGGCCATCACCTGACCATCGGCCGATTTGTTGTCCTTGACGAGGAGGATAAAAATTTCGTCCACCACCGTAGTCATTTCCACGACGTGCTTGTTGTTGATTTGATGGGGGAATAGTGGTTGATGGACGAGTAAAACCGCCGCTACCATTACCTGAATTCTGTTGACCTCTTGATGTTGGTTGTTGCGACAATTGTTGTTGATTGGATTGTGCGGGAGGACGAACACCAGTAGAGGATGAAGGTGGAACATTAGTTGGTTGTGTACGTGCGAGTGGAGCGCTTGTTGTAGTTGAAGACAAAGGAGGATTCGATTTTGTTACAACGCCAGCGTAAGATGCTGAAACGTGAGAAGCAAAAGTGATAGCGGCTTATGTTTACCAAAGGGAACGCAACAATTATTCAGCTCATGGGCCATAGCTGAGCTAAGACACCAGACCTACAGAAGGCTCATTGGAAATCTGTACTCAATCATTGGAAATTTGTTGACGTACTGTGTGATTCTGGTGTAGTGGTTTGTTTTTGTGGTTGTTGACTAGCTGTTGGCAGTGTGTCTGGAATATGCTGTTGTTGATCTTGAACTCCTGATTGTTGATCTTGACTGTGGTTATCTAATGTCGACTGATGATCAGCGGCATCATACGAGCCTTCTTCGTCGATAGTTAAACCATTACTAAAAAGAAAAATATTTAAGAAAAAGAATGATCAAACCTCAGATATTCTCTAACAAATATAACACACGAAAATGAAACATTTTGGACTGACTGCCGTTTTGCTCATGCAGTAAATAGAAACTTCTGTGTGCGATTTAGTGCCTATTTATCGATTATTCTTAAAACCACTACCTGGAAGATGTTCTAGCAACTGATAAGATATTAGCCAATAAAAGAACTGAATGCAGCCTTTCTTTATTCTCTAATTGACTGATAATATTCCACTTACGCAACATTTGAATCACCGGTAGTATTGCTGACATTTTCAACCTGATGCTGTGTAGTTTCTCTAGGAGGTAAGGACTCTGTGGCTGCCGTTTGTGCAGTGCCAGGATAAGAGGATGTTGATGATTGCTGTGTTCGAGGTGACAGAACTTGATGAACTCCCGTTGACGATGATGTTGGTGGTTGCTGATCTTGTTGTGATGATTGTTGAGTTTGTTGTTGTGATGTAGATGCTTGCATATGAGTGGAACCAGCTATTGATACTTTGTCCTATAGAGCAAAACACGTAACATGACATACAAGAGATACAAGTGAGTAAAAATGTTAGTCTTCAACTTTTAAAATGCATGTAAAGAATGTCAAAAGCTAACTGTCTGACTTCGACTACTGAATCATATAATGCTCTCGAGAAAAACTCTGGGACGGCTGAGGTGCATACGTACTGTTATAGAATTTTCACCAAAATTTGTTGATTCTCTGTCGTCGTCAGACTGGTCATCAAAAACTTCATCTTGATAACGAAATATATCATTTTGAACATAATATTTTTTTGGTGAACGTGGAGCTAATACAAATGTTTGCATAAAACGACGCATTGGCTCACCACCATTCGATAATTCACCTGTGACCTGCAAAAAAACCGTGTTAAACTGAATTATAAACTATCGACTACATAAGCAGCTGGCTTGCATTCTTTGATTTCTTTTTACCTGAACAACGACCCCATCGCCAATTGTTGGATGTGAATCAACCTGTCTAATTTTGGCATGACAATCTCTTAAATTCAAATCTGTAATTCTTCGTGAAATATCTTGAGGACCCACAGCTGGTTGTTCAACATTTCCCGGTCGATCAACCCCACCGTGAATAAATGTACTATCTGTAGAATAAAATCTAAAATAAAAGGAAAATGACGGCTAAAATAACATATTATCTTGGTCCGTTTTCTATTACATACCGATGTAATAAATTCGGAGCCTGATGGAGTAAAGTATAATATTGATGAACGAAAGCGCGACCAACCTAAAAATGAAACAAAAACAGGGCGTTAAACATTTCTTGATGTTTTCCTTCTAATGCATATTTCTTCTTAGTGACTTTTCTACCGATTTTTAGCCAGTAAAGAATCGACAACTTTAATGACTTATCGAAAGATAATCTGAAAAACGGAATCATATTTCATATGTCCTTTTCAGGATCTCAAGCGATTTATTCATCTTCTTGATGCTTTCACAAGTATTAGATATTGAATTTTAGAAATTTATATTTCCTTTTTACTATCAGATTGTGCAATAAATAAACCATCCTCATCTACTACTTACTTCAAATGGGCTGGGACTATTCTGTACCATATCGGCTCTAACACGATCTAGAATCATGCAATCACGTATTTAGAAGACGAAGCGTTGAAAGAAAATAGCGTATGTAAAAATGAAAGCAGAAAATGGAAGCGATCGGGATTTTTCTGCTTCAGTTTTAGGTCAAAAAAGAATCAACTGCACTAGTTTATTGCTAAAATCTATTTAGCACTGAATAACAAAAGTAATTACAATAAGAATAACGAATAAAATATGAATATATAAACAAAACTAATGTCCACAATATGAATTAGACTCATAATATAGCATAGGGGCACATTGTTTACAACTATGGCTACTTCAGTAATATATAAAATTGAAGAGAGTTATGCACTTTCGCTGAAGACAGCCATGTGGAGGAGTACCTGAAAGATTTGCATTTGCTTAGATTGTTCACATGAAATTTTCTCTCTCACCAACGAGCGTTCTAAATAGGACTGCCACAATCAATATCGATAAGGCGAAAAAAGCAGAAAATCGCGTTGATTATGCTCCCCCAGGTGCAGCCATTGTTCCAAATAAACAATAATGGAACATAAAACATGTTGCATATCACCGACAATAAATTAAAGTTTGTTTAGAGTTAAAGAAAAATACTTTTTCGTATTCAGCATACTTGATAACCTGGAAAATTTTCTATTTTTAGCGAGGGGTACCGCCAAACAGTTAAGAAAAATTTTCAAAATTGTATAATTTTACCAGGGAGATTTTTCTGCGTCAATTTGTTTGAAAATTTTTCTTAACTTTTTGGCGGTACCCCTCGCTAAAAATAGAAAATTTTCCAAGTTATCAAGTGTGCTGAATACGAAAAGGCACTTTTCTTTAACTCTAAACAAACTTTAATTTTTTTTATCGGTGATATGTTTTTCTATTTTTCAGCTATCACCATTAAATAAAGCTTAAAGAATTCGTTCAAGATTCGGAAGAAAGCCAATTTTCTGCTCTTCAAAACCGTTAATGCCCGTTATTTATATTCACAGTAACTCATTTTTTTCATAGTTCATTTCTGATGGAGCTTACGAAAATATGTTTTCTTAAAACAAGGTTAATTAGCTTTTCTTCCCGTTATCTAATCAATGACTTTAGTATAAAAACTTTATTTCTTGTGATCAGAATCTTTCACGGGTTTCTCGTTAAAATTTTATCATTCGAGATTTAAAGCATTTTATTTTCAGGTTTTAAATTTACATCCTATAAAACATTGAAGTCTTTTTCCATGAACTCAGTTGAGTTTATTGTCGGTCTCAAGTTTATTCGTCTGCAATCTAACTCTTTTAATGGCTGAGTTTTTGAATGTTAAAGATGGGTCGTAAATAGTAGAACAAACTAGAATTTCGACGCTCATTTTCTGCTATGAAGTATTTAACCAATACGTTAGGTTATCCTCCAAATCAATGATAAAATAGATGGATGCTTGATCGAGCAACAAGGTTGTGATTAATATGTCACTACGATTATTTAATTTTTGACCATTTCATTCATTTATCGTATAAACAACGACTTTCGACTAATGTTGAACGCAAAATATTTTCTATGGAGCATAGCTTTATTTGTGATTCAACTTGCGTTTGGCAGTCTTACAGAGAAAAATTATGAAATTTTTAGTAATGGCCGGAATTGTCAATGGTGTTTACAATGTGGTTCACCGCCTTGTTGTAATATGTGCCCGTCAATTATTGATTTTGATTCTTTACCGTAACTTTTAATAATACGTATTAGTTTATTATTTTGAAATTTTGTTTAAAATAAATAAATAAAGCCATATTTTAGAATCAAACGATGCAACAAACAGACTTTTAGAATAATTAGAAGTTATTCAGCTATCCAACTTCTAACATGGGAAAAAAAGTTGAAAAAGTACGAAAACTAAGATTTATAGTAAGAATGAATAACGGTAAAATGTACTTTTGATCACTAAATTCTTCAACGAGTTGTGATATTTTATTATCTATTCTATGTTCATCAGTTCTTATCCCAACAGATCGTGTTTTTTTCATTATTTAAGGAATCACCTCTTTTTTCAACAAAATCTTTTATACTGAATTGAACACAGCCTGATGTAGTGGAAAGTCTGTTCTGCAAAATAAGACTAACTACTCTCAGCGTTTTACAACCTCTTTGAAGAAAATTGAGTCTGTTAAATTTTTTCAACAGCTTGAAAAACGTCAATTTTTGTAGCTTCGTTAATGTTTTTTGTTTTCACTGCTTCCAAGGTTTTTTCTTATACTTAGTCTAATGGACCATGTTCACACTTTCAAAATTTTTCAACGGTTTCTCGCGCAGATATGAGCATCGTCGCAAATGTCTTGCAAAAAATAACCGGTCTAATGACATAAAAATGACCTGTCTGTAATGCAGGAAACACTGATGGTCTGAATGCAAACACTTCGACTCCTCGAAAAAATGGCGCGATAGGGTGTGAAGTGTCGGTGGTATCAATTTGTACTGAGCGGTCCTTGCTTTCTACAAGATGACTAGACCTGTGCATCGGTCGGAAAATCGGCGGCGGCAGAGCCTTGTTATAAAATTTTCAAAATTCATAATTCATAATTCAAAAAATTATCCAGCGGCGGCGGCGAGGAACTTCAGAAACGTTTGACATCTTCGGCGGTGGGGCCGAAAATCTTAGTAATCCCCATCGGCAGCGGCGCGGCGCACAGGTCTAAGGATAACAAGGGAAAAGGTATCCTTAATTTAACTTGTATCAAGTTAGTGATAAAACACATTTTGGTGCATATGCCGTTACTAGAGCCCTTGACACAATCATCGACAATCTGAATGACAAGACAATGAAGCCGGTTTAGAAGGATTTAATTGAAGAACTAAAGACGTTCATTGAAAAGAACGATGTCATTGAGACAATCAATGATATTCAGAAAAATGTCCGAATTCCAGTTGGCTATCAGATTACGAACGATTACAATTGATTTTGAATGGGGTGTTTCTAATGTATTCACTAAATATTACCCAAGTGTTACTGTTCAGGGTTGTTTATTTCATTATGGACAAAGTTTATTTCTTAAGTTTGTTGATATCAGTTACTTTACATCCAAACTCAAGTTCTGAACTTTTTGTAATCGTCTCCAATTTCAACTTTCATTGTCAGAAGGACTTTAAAATCAAAAATCAAAAAAATTGTTACAAAAAATTTTCAGCATATTTTAAATAGTTTTCAAAAGAAATCAGAACATGAGACAGGGTGCGGCGGCAGAGCCTTGTTATAAAGTTTTCCGCCTTTGGCGGCGGAGGATAAAAGATTATTTAAAACTTTGGATCGTCAGCGGAGGACCGCAATCAGATTTGAATACCAAACTTAGTTTAAGCCAAGATCCATTGTCAATTTCTTCTTTTATTTTAATTTATTTTCAATCAAAATAATGAGGCTAAAACAAGTTTGTACGGTGAGGACCTCCAAAAAACTTCGGTGCGGCGCCAAAAATCCTCAAAAAATTATCCATCAGCGGCGGTGGCGAGGAACTTCAGAAACGTTTGACATCTTCGGCGGTGGGGCCAAAAATCTTAGTAATCCATCGGCAGCGGCGCGGCGCACACGTCTAAGGATAACAAGGGAAAAGGTATCCTTAATTTAACTTGTATCAAGTTAGTGATAAAACACATTTTTGGTGATTAAGTGAATTTATGGGATGAAAATGGAAGATTTTTTCAATCTATTATGATGAACAACTGATAATCTCCTTTGTTTGTATAGAAACTGAAGTGTATAATCAAATCAAATAATATATCGGCCAGTCTTTTTTTAAAAAACTTAGAAAAGTTTATTTTTAAGAATGAACAGAGTTGAGCAAGCGATTGTATCACACTTTGTTTAAGAAAGAAAGAAAAAAAAACACTTTGTGCCATTGGAAGATAAAAAGAAGTTAAAAACAAATGATATTGCACAAAATATTTTTACAACAGAAATAAAATTTGAATCTCATTTTATAGTTAGCTAGAATAATATAAGTATAAAACTTAAGCAATTATCACATAGGTTGCCGCTGTTGCCACTCCACAATTATTGTTTTTTCTTGACATAAGAACATAACCCTAAACGAAGAATAAACATATACTTAAAATAAGTGATTAGAAAACAAAATTTGGTTCTTTATGGTTAAAAGAAAACTTACATCATTTCCCCAGTATGTACTCCATGAATTTTTAACAAGCCAATAATCTTCACCGGCCAATGTTCCATAACCGACGGCTAATACGGCATGATCTAACGCTTCTTCCGAACTTCCTGTAAGTACAAAATATATCACAAATAAAAGGAGAGATCACATTTATCACATACATACCACAATCTGGCTCATAATATACACCTGATGAATAAAACACAAATGTTTTATGAGCGGCGTCGATTCCTAAAATGAGAGAAAATAAAGATATGTGATAATGAGAAAAGCTGTGTTTCAAAATAACTTTTTTTCACTTACCAACTGATACTGGTCCTTTATTTGCAAGTGCGATTTTTAATGCTTGTTCGTCACCTTCGGTAATATTTACATAACCCAAAATTTTTGCACCTTTTGTTGAATTATCATGATGACAAAAACCATCCTACGAAAACGCACACAGCCAGATACTTATACTCAAAATGAATCTGTTTTTTCTTCATACCTGTTGTAAATAGGGTCCATAGGCCTCTTCCAATGCAATTCCTCCATGTTTCATAATGTATTGATATGCTCTAAAATCTTCACCACCGTCGCAACCATTATTGCCAAATCCCCATGAACAATCGATAAGATCTTGTTCCGATAAATCAGCCATAACACCATGCTAAAGATACACTTTCTCATCAGATTCAAAAGACTTTCTCTCACGCTTTTATTTTTATTGTACTTACTTTAACAAAATCTAAAACATTAAAAATAATTGTTTGACTTATATTATAAAAAGAGAAGTATTTGTGAACGTGAAAAGGATCAGTTGATTGTAGCAATCAATTATCGGCTATTCTCAGACAATCAAATAAATAACTTACAAGCGCCTTCTAATGCTCCCGTGGTGCCAAAACTCCAACAAGAACCACAAATGCCTTGATCTTTCACTGGCGTTACTGCACCCATAATACGCCAATCAATAGATTCTGGAATATTTTTATTTATTAAGTTTTTTCTGAATGGTAAACCGCCATTGTAGCCTTTTGAATGACGTTTTCCTCTTAATACTTTTAATTCGTCATCTGTACGGTCAGCCAAATGATTTAAACGCATTTTATATGTTAAACCAGCACGATTTTTAGCATTCACATATCTAAACAATGAGAAACACATCAATCGTCCGTTTAAAACTATTTATACTGATAATTCAGCTTTATTCACCTCATATTGTGTCTGTACGTAGCTAATCGTTGTCGATGTTCTTTTGTGTCTTTATATTTTTTATTATGGTGTTTTTTAAATGTATCAAACGACTGTTCGGCATGGTCTTCATACGAGCCATGATGATTTATATACTCTGACATAGGATTAAACAATACACGATGTTCATCACCAGGTCCGGGAAATCCCGTACATTTCATACCTAAATACAAGTAAATAATAAAAATACATAGGTAATTAATACTATTTTGAATCACTTACTATCAGTAATTTGAAATATTTTTTCATCAATTTTGTCTTCATCATAATTGAAATAATCAATGTAATATTTATCAAAATGTGATCCGATTAGTGTGTCGTATCCAAACATTTCATAGTGAATAGGGTGATTATTTTCAGCATTTATATAATACGTATAAGTACTACGTTTATCACCTGTTTGATCTATTGATTGATACATTTTGCATTGAACACCACGCCAATCAGCCAAACCCATATACTAGAAATAAAATTAAATTTGTAAAATGTTTGCTAATTATAAAATCATATATATACTTCAAATGAGTCCATATCTGGAAATGCTTGTTGCAAATCAACTAGATCTTCTTGAGTACCATTTGCTTGAAAACAACTTATTTTATTTAACACTTGTTCATCTAAATGGGAGAGATAGTATTAATAACAATAAAAGTATTTTATGTTAAAATACTTACCAGACATAGGCACAATTTTATAATTAATACCAAAATCTCCCTCACCTTGACCTTTTTTCTGTATAGTTTTGGCAACACCTTAAATAGGTAGTGTATATCAATCTGAGAGAAAAAAATCACTGTAATATGTAAGTAATCTAAGGAGTTGAGTCTCTTTGCGAGTACGTAGCAAAATCCTTGTAAATGAAAATAGAATACATATCTTCTAACGATGAAGTAAAATTTATAAAGTTTAAAATCAATGGTAAAATATTCAGAGATATTTTTTAACATTTCAAGTTCATAATTAATTTCTAGTATCTGATGAAATTGTGGTGTTCGTACCTTTGTAATAATCAATTCTTGAATATCCTTGTGTATTATCAACTAAAATATTGAAAAAGACCATGACTCATTAAGAGTGAAGATAGTCGTGCAAAAGTCTGACTGAACAAACGCTATTAGCTGTATCATAGGCGAAAAATAATCTAAAAACAGCTAGTTTGATCTATTGTCCAATACCATGACTAACTGTGGTTTGTCCAAAAGCTGAATGGTCGTAACAATTTTGTGAATAAATTCTGATAGAGCTTAAATGAAACTTGCGAATGAAAACTTCCTAACCCATTCGGAATTGGTTCAAAACATTTTAAAATATCATCTATTTTGGCTGCTTTACACGTTGATAAACCCAGAACTACAATATGGTCAGTTTCTATTTTAAATTTTTTAATGAAAATATACATTGCTACGAGACTCAGCATAGTCGATTACCTACGTTCTCGTCATCTGTGAAATTTTCATAGGTTAACTCATAAGAGACCTGTGCTTCCAGAAAATCGGTTGCTACGACGAAACAACAGATCGAAATGTTGTTATTATTACGAAGACGCTTTGGATTATCTACACATGTAAGAACGAAAATGTTTCAATCTCGATCTTTGAAGGTACAAGATTGTTTTTCCAGGGATCTTCTGAAAAACTTACTATCGAAGAAGTTTTTTAACACTAAAACATCCGGAAATTTTCATGACCTAGAACGTCCAAAGCGGTCATTTTGACCGTTACTTTTTTCTTTTAAAATTTTATACTTAAAAATGGTTCTGAATTAAAAAATGAATTAAAAATTCTGCAAAAAATAATTTTTGTGGGACAAAATGACCGCTACGGGCGTTCCAGTGTTAAAGATTAAGTTTTCTCTTTGAATGGCAAAAACTGTAATTCTCTAACTATTTCCTATCAAAAGTTATTCAAAAAATGATCACAATCACTAAACTTTTGGACAGATAATAGGCTAAAATGCATTAAATAGAAACACAACGGATGTATGAAGTTTATAAACCTACCCCAAGCTTCAAATGGCTCATTGATTTCAGCGTATGGCAACTGAATAATTCCTCGAACATGATATGTCTTTGGTAATTCATCTAATTTAATTAATGGACTTGAACTCGATGGAGTACAAACTAAAAAATTGTCGAAAATTTAAACATCAACACATCGTCTATTAAGAGCTTAAACTTACACAAAGTAACTGCTAATAATAATAATCCAATCATCTTCATGATGAGATATCGAATATTTTAATCTAAAACAAGATAAACGAGATTTTTATCAGAGGAAATAAAGTCTATGGAAATGTTTAGCAGCAAAAACGCTATAATGAGGTTTTCATTCTTCATTCTTCATTGGCAATTTTTTTTTATTCTAATTACAAACGAATTTTTTATGGTAATTAATGGCAGCAGCAAGAGTTTTCAGAATGAATTAGATTCAGATAACGATTGGAATATTATAACTGATGATGAAATGGGTCTCGTCACTTACCGTAATAGGTTTCAGATTGATCTACTCATTTTCATTAGTATACGAGCTATAAAATGAAACAACATCACCTAATACATCTTATTCGAATACAACAAGAAGAGGTAGACATTAGTTTTCTTCTTGTTATAACAAACTACTGGAGAAGATTTCATTTTCATTTGAAAAGACAAGCATACCTGTTTCATTTCTCTTCACTTTCATCTACTTATCCTTTATGTTTCATATAATTAAGAGATAAGACAATTTTTAACCATACCATAGCCTTGTAATTTACTTGGTCAAGGCGATTATCATTTAGAAATTTTACCATTGTCCTGCTGTCATTCTATAAATTTTAATAAAAGGAACGCAACTGTTACATGAATTATTCTATCGAGATTTTTTCATGTACAACGATGTGTCGGAAAACTAGGTGGAAGAGCTATAAACTAGTTTTTTTGATGAAAACTACGTCTTTTCACAAAGTAAAATTTAGCTTTTTGAACGTAATAAACAGATAATATGAAAAGACTAGAACGTCTCAAACATAATATTAATTCAGAGATGGAACAACTCTTAACTGAGAGTAGAGCGTTTCTTTAGTGAGATTAGAGTTCATTTCAGATTTTTGCAACTTCAACTTCACAACTTCAGATCGAAATGTTCACAACTTGAATATATTTTTTTGCTTTTGTTATTACAGCATATCAGTAATTTTCATTCTATAGACAGCGTTGATAGAGAAAGTGCTTTCTCAAAACGATTTCCTTTTTCTGTCTTATCAATATAGAATGAGAAAAAGTACGCGTTTCAAAATTAATATTATTAACACTTTCACTGCCGGGCGTTTCAAATAGGGGATTAATCCTCAACGCCAGGCATTTTTTCCTGTTTGGAAGATGTTTTCAAGCTATTGCACAAAAGAATCTTTGAAAAAAATCTTTGAGCGAAGACGTGAATACGTCGGACGACGTATTTGCCAACGGCGACTAGTGAATACGTCATACGACGTATACGGCAGTGAAAGTGTTAAAATGACTATAATCATGCACACTGTTGTAGACAAAAGCGAAATAAATAACTGCTAGTAAAATAATGGAGACGAAAACGAAACAAGATAAAAATATTCTTGACGAAGTTGAAGTTAAACTTAACTGAAGTTCTCCATCTCTGAACTAGTTCTTCTGAAAAGATAATTCTTAACTCTCTAAACAAAATAAATGTGAGAAAACAAAAAACGTGCACCACCAATATAATCTATGTATCGAGTTAATGTAACTGTTAAAAGAGAAAATCGATATCATATTTTTTTTATAATAAAGTACAATCCGAAATTCTTTGAATATACAAACAAATACAGAAGAGTAAAAAGTTTATTTTGTTTCTCATACAAGAACAACTACAACATGTAATAAAATATCGATATCAATTGTTTACAAACAAAAGAGAGAAAGAGAGTGTACAAAATTGTATTGTATAACATCATTTTCTTCTAGATTCATTTCGTTTACTTTTGTCTTTTTTCTTTTTCATTCGTCGTTCTGGCGACGGTGATGGCGACGATGATGATGTTGAACTTGAACTTGACGATGTAACCGATTGTTTTCGACGCTTTTTCTTTTGTTTATCATCGTGTCGAGATATTTTTTTTGTTGTTAGTGATGAATGTTTTTCATCTTTTTTCTTCCGTTGAGGTGATGGTGATTTTTGATTTGAACGTTGTGATGGCAGTGTTCTTTCTCGTCCCTCACGACCAGCCGTAGCCATTTTCATTTGTTGTAATTTTCGATGAAATTCTAACACATCGTTACCATCATCATCATCGTCATCATCATCTACCACATCGTCTTTCGGTTGCTGTTGTTGATCTTGAACGGCAGACGTATTTGTACGAAGAAAATCACGAAGTTCATCACTAAAAAAATACTAAAACTTATTTAATAATTGTCTGAGGTGTACATCCCAATCAACGTATATATTTAAATAGTCAAAAATGTCTGACGAGTTATAGTTTTACTTACGTTAGGCCTCCAAGACCAATGGATGTAAAAAAATTGATCGAAAATCTTGTATTTTTTGTATTATCACGTGGAAATATACCCTCAAAATATTCGGTTAACGTTCTAAACAAGCAACAAATGGCAAAATCATAGATATAAATCGTTTTTTTTAAATATCAAAATAAATGAATACATACGGATCTTTTAGACGATTATTCAATTTTGTTAAACCCAAAAATTCTACTAATTCCAAAAATAAATTTTTTATATAAACACGACTTGATGACGTCGTATCTTCTTCGGTTAAACGAATACAGCGTAATACCTAGTAAATAAGAACAAAATTACAAATTATATTTCAAAACAAATATTTTAGATGGTAATCATCCAGTTAAATATTGAGAAATACTTACACCCCAGGAAATGGCATCCGTATATAATAGATGTGCAAAAAATTTGGCAACATTTCGTAATTTAACATTTTCTAAACGATGAACGATATCATATTGATCTTGAAATACTTTTTCAAAACATTCAATATATTCCTTTTTCAATAAACAAAAACGCTAAATAAAGGAAATAAAGACAGATTAATGAGTGAAAATAGGCAAAAAAAAAGAGTAGATGAATACATACTTGTCCAAGTAAACCAAAAAAACGTTCGTAGGTACGTTGTTGAGCACAACTATCCAAAATCATTTGACATAATTCCATCTAAAAGTTATGGTAAAATATAATTTATTAAAGAAGTAGAACTAAAAGTCAGTCCTACCTCTTGTCCTGGTCTTAAATTCATTTTTAATAATTTATGTGCACATTCTTCAGCTCCGACACTTGATTGAATAGTCAAATATATCGTTCGTCGTAATGTAACTAAATTTGTTTCAGTTTGATCAATTATTGTCTGCTGTTTTTCTTCTTAAAAAATAATAAAATCAGTGAGTTTGACAATAATAATGATTCATGTTTTCTTACTTTCCGCTTCGTCTTCACTCTCTTCTTCTTCCCCATCATTTTCTTCTCCATCTTCATCTTCACTTGATTCATCATTATCATCAGCTAAACAACAACATCAACGGTTAAAAAGTTTTCAAAATAACTATATTTCATCACTTACCGTCTGATTCATCCAAAATTTGTTTTCGTATTTGTTTATATTTGTTTTCATTTTCTTCATATTCTGGATCATATTTGAAAACATCTAAACAAAGAAAATGAGGAATTGTTAGTTAACATTTTGAACGTTTTAGAACCTAATGTATTGCGTAAATATAGTCATATTTGAAAAGATAAGAATATCTCAGCAATGAAATATTATGAAAAACTCTCAAATGTACCACTAAATAAAGCATGAAATACTAAATGAGATAGACATAGTGAATTGAAAGTCAAAATTAAAAAACTGAGATAATTCTAAAAATTCTTTTAGACAAACGTGGAAGGAGTAATAATTTTAGTTGGTCAAAAAAATCATTCTTTAAACACACTTAATATTGATTATCGAAAATATTTTATTCATCACTATTGTTGCCTGACCAAATTTTTATTTACAAATTTCACTCCAGTACAACCATCAAAATATGACTGGAGTCTATGATGAAAATATGAATAAATTAAATATAATTATATTTATAATTCGATAGCAACGTTCGACTATATATCATCTACGCGTTACGGTACCTCTATTCTGATTCTGATCGTCTATTGTACGTTCTTTTACTATCATAATTTCACTCAAAAATTGAAATACAACAGTTTTTTATAAAGAATTTTTGTTAAATCAACAGCTGATAGAATAAAAATTATCAGTTACACAACGTGGAACAATGCCTGATAGACGTCATCCTACAAATAGTTGAGAAAAATATTTAAGATTTTTTCAATAATAGTTGTATGCATAAAAAGTAAGTGAAAAATTTATGCTTTTTGCTGCACACCCTTTTAGTGTTTTTCACAGCTACTTCGCAATTCTTTCTGTCATTTAGCAAGCACTGAGACACTGCAGATAAGATTTTCTTTCTGTTGTACGAAATCAAATTCGTACCGAACGGAAAAAAGATTTCGTAATGGTGGTGGTTATCAAAAACTTTTTTAGTCTGATACGAATTCTTTTTTCACAGAGTATGAATAGATAAATAATCTTCTTCATGCTTAGCATAAAAAAAATTGCCAGTGCTGCTCTCTGCCAGACAGATCGCATGCCATCGGCTATTGTTATTCTGTAGCATCCATGCACACCCGAGCCCAACAAACACCATGTTCTTTTATAAGAAGAAAAAGAGGAACGTATTGTATACGTAATACAAATGCACAAACAAACGATTGTACACTTGTAATACGTAGTTGAAAAAAAATATCTGGCAGTAGACTCATATAAAAAATGTTATTCCGTATCACCGCTGGTAAACAGTTTTTGTTATGATATGATTATCAAGGTAAAATCTATCCTGTAATAGCACGAAGAAATATGAGAATGAACCATAGTAATACGATTAGAAACGAATAGGCACTAGTTCAATGATGCGACCCAAGTTTTGATCACAGGATGACTTTTATTTTACTTTTTGTTAAAAAGTATAATTTTCGATCAGTATGAACACAAAAATCTAGAAAATTGCACTGAAAAAATAAATTTATTTGTTTCAGTGTTGAATTCATTTCCTTCAGTGCAATTTTCTAGATTTTTGTGTTGATATTGGTCGAAAATTTCACAGAAAATTATAATTGAAATAAAAAGATGAAGTCAGAAATAGCTGTAGTTAATACGTCAGATGCTATTTGTATTATGCATTAAACAACAATCTATTAAAATAGTGATCACAATCGTCACACATACACAACAATAACAGTTATCGGTATAAAATACAAATATATTTAAATTATATATATATATATATCGTCTATTGTTCATTGTTATCACCTAATTCACTTTGTTTTGTTGGTGATACTTGTGCTGTCGTTTGTATGATCGCTAATAATTCATCTTTAATTGAAAATTTTATAACATATAACCATGTAACACTCGTGATAACAAATCGAAATAGAACTATAAACCATGGTATTATAGTAAATATTGCTGTTGTCAAATATTTTATATCTTCCCAACAACCTTTCATAGTATGCAATTCTTCCATCCAATTTGAACATGCTTGATAATTAAATGTATGATATTTTTCATGAAAAAAATTATAAATTTTTTTTTGTCGAATTTCATAGAAAATTGGATCTGATGTATGAATAATTTGAAAATTACCATAAGGAATTATTGTTGTTGAAAATGCTGTATCTTGATTATAATCATCAATAAGACAGCATAATATGAATGGAAGAAATAATAGACGATCAAAATATTTTGATGATTTTTTTTCATAAACATATTTTTCAAAATCATTACGTACACGAGATGAATATATTGTACCATAAATAGCATAAATAAAAAATAGACAAGTTAAACTGGTTAGTGTACTAGTAGCAATTTTTAAATAACGTTTTTTAAATAAACAAATAATAAATCCTATTTGTACAATGATACATAATAATAATATGATTAAAAGAAACCATTCTGTAAACCAAATAGATAGAGAAAGACGAAATAAAATATCAATAAATGTAATTATTATCCAGCTAGTTATTAAAAATGTTCGAAAATTAAAAGAATTTTTATCCATGAACAAAGATAGAATGTAAATATGTATATGTGTGTGTGTGAGAAAGATTAAAATGAAAGCAAGAATGAATTTAATATTTAATTTAAAACAAAAAGCGCCTGAATATTCTCAAATGTTTGATTGACAATAATTAAAAAAAGGAACATTTTTATACAAAATAATCGTGCACGAAGGTAATTCTATTGAAAGTCTTTCACCATTGTTAAAGTTCATCAGTAAAATTTCAAGATATTTGACTCAAATAACAGCATTATAGTTTTTTCCCAGACAGTTCAAGAATGCAATTTTTACTCAAACAAGAATTCGACACAGTTAAAAAGTAAGATTCAGTTTAAAATTTTCAAAAATGTCTCTTTTTCACTCTGAAGTCTTAACTGCAAAATGACAGGTGATTTTAAGCTGTTTTTGAACCAGAACCCAAAATCGAGAATATATAATTCCTATTATATCATTCTGTTCCAACAACACAAAATTAGTCTTTGCTTAAAACTGTATAGTTGTGAATCGAAATTACATGCTTGAACTAGCTAAGAAACTATAATATCGTTACATAAATTTATGGCCACAGTTAGTCATATTTCATCATATTTTCGTTTTCTCTCCAAGCTCTCCACAACATTTTTTTATTGAACAGCATTCAACTTATAAAAGCGTGCGCTCATTTGCTAAGTAATATTTACTCTGTATGACTAGTTTGTTTACAAAAACATTTGTAATTGAATTATGCAACTTTACTTCAATAATTTTATTGGAGTTTTCCTTTATATACCATTTGGTGGAAAACTCTTTCAACTCTCTAAATTACTGTTAAAAATCATTTTCAGTTATTCGAATCGAGAAATAGCATAGAAAATTAAAACTATTTGGATAATTTTGGTACTTATTGTATGAACATACAGTTGACTTTCGCAAAAAATACATGTGTACGCTTCGAAGATCATAGAGAACCATCTGTGCAGAAGTCAAATTATGTTTAAACAATTTATAATCGTATATGTTGTTTAAATATTTTTCAAAATATAACTGTTAAGTTGTGATCATGGGCGTATTATAGTTCATATTAGTTCGACCCCATTACAAAAGCTATTTCTAGTACTGTATATATATTTAGCCCTAGTTCATTATTCTAGTTCATCTATATTCAATCGGTATTACACGATTATATGTACTTACATTTTCCAATAAAGATAAACATGACGAAAAAACTATTTAATACGATAAAGACTAAGATTAAGAGTATCCCCCTCTTTTTTTATCTTCTTGGCAAGTCGAGAACGAAAGTCCGATTGCATTCAAATTCATTTCGAAAAAGAAAATCAATGTATTTTTGTGCAGCATGTTCTTCTATGGGTTTGCTGAAACATTCTGGTTTCTATTGAAGTACATTACGATCCTCTGAAAACTTCATTCGATCGGGTCCAAAGTTTTACCACAGATACCTGAGTCGATATCTTAGAATGCGAATTTTCGTTTTTGAGCGTTCTTTCTTGAGATATAAAAATTGGTAACAGCCCTAGGTGAAATCTAGGATTTGGGTTTTGAAAACTCCGTAAATCGGAAAGAAATAATCAAAAACGAACAATCAACATTTCCGTTCTGAGATATCGGCCCAAGCATCTGTGGTAAAACTTTGAACCCAATCGAATGAAGTTTTCAGAGGGTCGTAATGTACTTCAATGGAAATTAGAGTTTTTCAGCAAATCCATAGACGAACATGTCCGAAAATTCTGCACAAAAATATATCGATTTCTTTTTCGATGTTCTACTTCTGGTATGAATTTGAATTCAATCGAACTTTCGCTCTCGATTTGCCAAGAAGATGAAAAAAGAGGGAAGAGCGGGGTATTTCTAATACTTTGATGAGAAAACAGAGAATATATTATCAACTTATTACTCATATCTACTTTTCTCCGTACACAGAATATTGTTGTTGTTTTTTTCTCGTGAATAAAAAACATAGACTTACCTAACATTGGCTCTGGATCACATGGATCATCCAATGTTAACATATGTGTTAATTGATCCTGTTCTTCGACTAAATCGAGACCATCCAAAATAATTGGATGATCTTTGAATTGATCTTTTCTAATGGCAAATAAAACTTCAATCATATATTGTGTACGTTTATCTAACGTTGACTCATGTAATAAATTTCTTAATGTTGAAAATACACTATCCAGACCACGTGGAGATATCTGACTTAATTTTTTACCACATTCTTTGATGAAACCAATAGCCAATTCACATGAATCATCTGATGGATTCTCTAACAATAATATTAATATTTGTAAAGCAACAATTTCATGAAGCTAAAAGCGATAAAAATAAGTATCAACAATATAGTCATTTTTCTAATATCCGAGTTTTGTACACATAGTTTAGTAAGAAAAACAATGATGTTTATCTCTGAACAAGTGTTTTCTTTAGTTTTTTTTAAACATAAAAATTCGCAATCAATACATACGACATTTTGATTGACTAAATGTGCAATAAATCGAATAGATGCTAAACAATTTGTTTTATCATTTCGTTGATATGTTCGACGAAATGCACTTATTAAACGTTTAACAATTAATTCACCAATTTGTGAAAGTTTTGTATTTATAATAGAGACAAGTGCCGCATAAACATGTGTATAAAATGGTGAAGCAATTTGTGCTTGAATAATACCACGTGCAAGCAATCCTCGTCCACGAACAATATTATCTTTAAATAATTCTCGTACAATCAAAACTAAATTTGAAATGTTAATTTTATTTACACGACCATTAATCGTTTTTTTTAATGCTTCCCATGCTAAACGTTGATAGTCTTGACTTGATTTATCAGTGATAGACGCCTAAAAAATACGAAATTCTCTAATATTCAATAAATATAACAGTTCAAACATTCACTTCTAGCTTTAGTCGAAGTTGTACCAGTTTTCATACCTGTAATAAACGTAATTTTGCTGGTGGCATATAAAGACCGCCTGTTAGACCAACGGTTGTCTTTGGTTTTCCAATAGTGATTGGTGGTGGTCTAGGAATTTCCCCTTCTTCATCACTACTCTCATCATTTTGATGAGCAACAGGTATCGGTGAACGAGAGCGTTGTTGATGATAATTATAATTTTGTTTGCGTTTTCTTGAAGGAGGAGGAGATGAAGTAGGGCTAGAAGATTTGTCACGAGAGACTTTTGTTATCGATGATTTTAATGTTAAAGTTGCCATGATGAAGAAATCTGAAACAAGAAAATATACATTGTTTTGATTAGTATCAGAAATGACATAAAAGCACCAAAAAACTGTTTTCTCTGTTTATTCTTCTATGCGAAACTTGAACAAATATTGTTCAAGTCACGAAAATCCATTGTCTCTTTGTATGAGTCACACCACGTATTTTAACGAAATATATCATATTCGAAAATGGGTCAGGCTGAAGCCTGTTGAAACATTTGTTCTATCTTTTTAAACTTTAAACGTTTTTTTATGTGACTGGAATATAGTACTCATTTCTAGATCCAGGTTACACAGAAGAAAACAAACAAGATAATACGTAGTAAACGTTCAACAGATTAAATGCAACGAATGCTTAAAACAACAGAAGCTGGAAGCTGTTTTTGGAACAAACTAACTCTGACTCGAGTCAGGTTTGTTATGCCAGTCAAACTCCACAAAGTGGTGACTCGCCCATCTCTGCTGACATGCTATTTAATAACAATCAATTAGAAATTGCACCAAACAACAAAATACATATTTCGTATTTGTGTATTATGATTATTACTCGTTATAAAGCATGAGTCAAAGATTGACCAATAAACCAATCATAACGTGATAAAGATTTTTATTATTTCAGGAGTGGTGCGACAGGAATATATTTCTCGACGACTACGTGCGACATTTGTCTCAGTATATTTTTAGATGAATTCAAACAAAATTAAATTAAGGCAAATTAAAGGAAAATTTTATCCTTCTGTTACAAGTATCTGTTCGAAGACTTTACCAGTGATACGCAAAATGGAGACATATACACCGTTCTGCAGAATGGAGAATTTTTCATCTTCCGCTGAACTCGTAGCTTGCTATATTGTTATTATCTGAGCGTTTTTATCAGGAGATGCAAGAGGGGGTTACGAGAGGTTTCAGAAAGTTCTCTGTATTGATATATTTTATGAGAGAAAACTCTCATATCAACGTGAAGAAAAAAGAAAAGTTTATTTAAAGTTGCGAAAAAGCTTGTTTTCGTTTTCAGGGGCTCGTATCACGAAAAAACTTAAGTCTAAGTCTAAGACCGACTTAAGTCCGGGAACCGTATCACGAAAAAGACTTAAGTTGACAATTTGTTTACTTTTTAAAAGTCGTTGAGAACAGTGACAAACTTCGAATAAAAACCCGCAATAATAATAATAATAATAATAATAATAATTGTCCTTTTTCTTCATCGGATTGAAGTTAGGGACGAGAGAGTTAAACGCCATTCGATCTTATTTTTTGATTTCCTTTCCCACTGTCCAACTGGTATC